GATGGTAACCCTGCTAGCATGGATGCTAGCCCTGTTAGCATGGATGCTAACATGTTAGCATGGATGCTAGCCCTGTTAGCATGGATGCTAGCCCTGTTAGCATGGATGCTAACCCTGTTAGCATGGATGCTAGCCCTATTAGCATGGATGCTAGCACTGTTAGAATGGATGCTAACCCTGTTAGCATGGATGCTAACCCAGTTAGCATGGTTGCTAGACCAGTTAGCATGGATGCTAACCCTGTTAGCATGGATGGTAACCCTGCTAGCATGGATGCTAACCCTGTTAGCATGGATGCTAACCCTGTTAGCATGGATGCTAGCTCTGTATGCTAACATGTTAGCATGGATGCTAGCCCTGTTAGCATGGATGCTAGACCAGTTAGCATAGCATAAATATTAACCATGTTAGCATGGATGGTAACCCTGCTAGCATGGATGCTAGCCCTGTTAGCATAGATGCTAACCATGCTAGCATAGATGCTAGCCCTGCTAGCATGGATGCTAGCCCTGTTAGCATGGATGCTAACCCTGTTAGCATGGATGCTAACCCTTTTAGCATGGATGCTAGCACTGTTAGCATGGATGCTAACCCTGTTAGCATGGATGCTAACCCTGTTAGCATGGATGCTAGCCCAGTTAGCATGGATGCTAGCCCAGTTAGCATGGATGCTAGACCAGTTAGCATGGATGCTAGACCAGTTAGCATAGCATAAATACTAACCATGTTAGCATGGATGTTAGCCCTGTTAGCATGGATGCTAGCATGTTAGCATATATGCTAACCATGTTAGCATAGATGCTAACATGTTAGCATAGACGCTAGCCCTGTTAGCATGGATGCTAGCCCTGTTAGCATAGATGCCAACCATGTTAGCATAGATGCTAGCCCTGTTAGCATAGATGCTAACCATGTTAGCATAGATGTTAACCATGTTAGCATAGATGCTAACCATGTTAGCATAGATGCTAACTTTAAATTGAAAACACCATAGGAAAGCTAACTGTTGGTTATCAGCCTGTGATCAACAGGGATTATTAAATGTGATCTGTGTCAGCATAATGAATTTGAATAAGCTCACACAAAAACATGCTAACCCTGCTAGCATGGATGCTAGCCCTGTTAGCATAGATGCTAACCCTGCTAGCCCTGTTAGCATAGATGCTAACCCTGTTATTTTTTATTTACCAGCCACTTGTGTTCGTATCTGCATGCTGTTCTGCAGCGCAGCCAGTGGTTCTCTGTACTCTCCAGCTCTCCCCGTCAGCACCTCGTCCAGCTTCACCTTTACCTGGCTCAGCCGCTCCCGGAACAACCTGCGACGTATCACACGCTGCAGTCAGACCTCTCCTTCCTCTCAGCCTCCTGACGACTTTAAAACGTTACAGTGAGACTGAAAGTTCCATAAAGAACTTCAAATCGTGACTCATCTGACCACAGAGTTTCAGCTGGCAACGGCGGATGGCACGGTGGATTGTGTTCACTGACAATGCTTTCTGGAAGTGTTCCTGAGCCCATTCTGTTATTTCCTTGACAGTGGCATTCCTGTTTGAGGTGCAGTGACGTTTAAGGGCCCGGAGATCACGAGCATCCAGTAGAGTTTTACGGCCTTGACCCTTACGCACAGCGATTGTTCCAGATTCTCTGAATCTTTTGATGATGTTATGCACAGTTGATGATGATAACTTAAAAGTCTTTGCTATTTTACGCTGGGTAACACCATTCTGGTATTGCTGCACTATCTTTCTGTGCAACAATGGTGGAATTGGTCATCCTCTTACCATCTTGGCATCTGAGAGACACTGAAACTCTGAGAAGCTCTTTTTATACCAATCATGTTGTCAATTGACCTAATTAGTGTTAATTGGTCTTCCAGCTCTTCGTTATATGCTCAATTTCCTTTTTCCAGCCACTTATTGCTACTTGTCCCAACTTTTTTGGGATTTGTTGACACTGTGAAATTTTGAATCAACATATTTTTCCTTTAAAATGTTACATTTACTCAGATTAAACTTTTGATCTGTCATCTATGTTATATTACGAATAAAATATTGACATTTGCCATCTCCACTTCATTGCATTCAGTTTTTATTCACAATTTGTTTAGTGTCCCAACTTTTTTGGAATCCGGTTTGTATTTTATTTTTCTGTTTCCTCTGTCCGGGTCAGTTTGACGCATCATTTGCACCAAAACTATTAAACTGCAGCAGAGATGGAAAAAAAAAAGTGGATTAGTAAAAATAAGGAAGTAATTTTCTTGAACCTACTTCTCTTTGAGCTCCTGAAACTGTTTCTCCAGATCAGTCATCTCGTCCAGACACTCCCCTCTCCTCCTCTCACAGTCTTCATCGTCCATCTCTTCAGAGGAGAAAAAAAAAAGTTGTATTTTTGTTTAGCATGGTTTAAAAAAAACTGATGATTTCTTACCTGAGCTCTCCTCTTCTTCCTCCTCCTCCTCTTCCACCTCCTCACTCTCCTCCATGTCGCTGTCCCTCTCCTCCATGCTTTCCTCCATGGTCTCCTCTCCTCCTCTCCTCTCAGCCTCCTCCACATCCCCGTTGGCCTGAGGGAGCTGCGACTCTCCGTTCGCCTCCATCTCCTCCTCCGGTTCCCTCTCGGGGGGCTGGGCGGGCATGGCGGGCTGGAGACACGAGGTCAGACGACCACTTTCAGTTTGATTCTGTTTGTGAACCTGAACGCCACGTCCTCCACTTGTGATGCAGGCGACTCCGACGGCCACCACCTGGATTAACACCTCCACCCCTCCCTGCTGCGCCGAGCTCAGGGGTCCATTGTTGGAGGCGTTGCTTGTTTTATCAGGAGTTCTTGTGGCTGATGCGATTCAGATCAAACTGAAAACCTTCCAGTTCAGTCATCAGCTGACGGTCCTTCACTTTCTCATTCTCATGTTCTTTATATATCTTAATCTGAAGATGTTTTTAAATTAATCAATAACTACTGATTAAATCAGCCTACAAAATCTAAACTTGATTATCAACACGTCAATCATCAGGCAGCTAAAGGGAACAACAACAATCGGCTCACAGCAGCCACAAGGCTGCTGGTGCAATCTGGTTCACTGTAATCTACTCATCTGTTCATAATTCAGTTGGGATTAGGGTTGGGATCACTGGGCCATGAAACTTAAAATAAAAGCTGTTCGCTGTAACTGTTGACCCTTCTACTCCTTCAAGATCATTTTTAACTAGAGAAATTACGTTTCCTGAGAAAATGCAGTGTGAACACTTATTGCAGAAGAACTTGCTGAAAAACAGCTGAAATGAGCTACAAACCTGTTGAAATGTAGCTGAAATGGAAGAACAAGCCTACTTAGCAGAAAAAAGCAGAAAGAACATATTATTAGGTTTAAATAAGCAGAAAAGAGCACAAAATTAGGAAATTAGCTACAAAAAGCTGAAACTAAATATAGTTGAAAAGTAGCTGAAATGGCAGAAAAAGCTGAAACTAGCAGAAAAAAGCTGAAAGAAGCATAACAAGTTGAAATTAGCAGAAATAAGTTGATTAGGCTGAAAGTAGCAAAAATTACCACAAAAAAAACTTGAATTTGTCTGAAAACAGCTGAAATTAGCTAAAAATGCTAAAGATAGCAGAAAAGGTAGAACGAGCTTAAATTAGCAGAAAGAACACGTTTCTCTTGTGAATGTGTTTTGTGTATTTGGTTTTGTATTTTGTATTTGTTGTATGTTTATGCTGCTGTCTTGGTCACGTCACTCTTGGAAGAGAGGTTTATAATCTCAACGAGTTATTTTTCCTGGTTAAAGGATGCATACATACATTGCTGAAAGGAGCTGAAATGAAATTATCTGAAAAAAGCTGAAAAGTAGCTATAAAGCAGAAAGAAGTGGAAGGAACACGTTGTTGCTGAATTAGGCTGAAAAAAAGTTTAAATGAGTGCAAAAAATGTGGAATTAGCTGAAAAAGCTGAAATTTGCAGAAATTAGCTGAAAGGAGCATAACGAGCCAAAATTAACAGAAAGAAGTTAAAATAAACACAAAAATGACGTAATTAGCAAAAAGAATCTGAAAGGAGCACAAAGCAGCTAAAATTAGCTGGAAAAAAGTTTAAATTTGCACAAGGAAGCTGAACCAGAAAAGGCTAAATATTTAAAAAAGCTAAAGCCGCACCAATAACAAAAGTCATGGCAGGATTGTCCTGAAAGAGCTGAACGTTTTGATTTATGATTTGTTGAAATATTTTGAAAACTGCAGAAAAAGAATTGCGCTGAAAAATGTACAGAAGAAAAATGGATCACAACAGTGTGAATGCTAAAAAAACCACAATATTAAAGTTTAAACAAAGGTCGGATAATTCTGGTTAAAGTTAGGGGGTTGGGAATAAAATACAAAACAGTAACTTGGGTACAAAATGGTAAGGCATGAGGGTACGAAATGACTCGGGCACCTCACCGTTGAGTTGCTATAAAATTAAAAACTATTTTGAACATTTAAAAAAACAAGACTACCATAAAATATAGAAAAGAAAGAAACAGCTGGAAGGCGGACACAGATGTGATCATTTAAAAACACACCGAAAAGTGAAATAAACAACGATCAAAATTAATAATTCACTTTTTCCCCACCTAAAAGCGTACAAATAATTAATTCAAGGCACTTCAATAAATTCCTAGTGACTTTAAAAAGGACCTAAATTTAAGTTTGTTATTTTTTTTAAGAGATTAAATCGCATTACAAAACCTACAACATCCACTGTGGAGCAAATAATCTACAGGAAAAGACTGCAATTATTAAAAATGGCATAAGAGGAGAAAAAACTCTACACATCTGAAAACAACATTAAAGTGTCTATGAAGGACAGAGTTATGTGTCTCACTCTGTGATGGAAAAAACGTTGGAATAAGCAGCAAGAAAAACTCAACCATTTTATACTTTAAATAGTCAATGAATGTACTTCCGCTTAGAACCGGAAATAGTTTTCTTTTTCATAACCACAGCGTAAAAATACACACAAACATTTATTTAAACATTTCAACTTCTGTAAAAATACAGTTGTATAAAAAATAAAACAATCTGTCTAAGTTAATTTTACATTTTAAAGGACTTTTATTTTGTCGTTAAACCGACAGTCTCAGCCGCTTCCGTGACGTCATTCGCACGATTGTAAACGGTGAGAGCAACAGCGGTTGTTTAGAGTTCACTAAGCGTTTAAATTAAGACAGGAGGCGGCTCGATCGAGTGTATATTTAACTTATAAACCCTGAAAGGGTAAATAAAAGCTCGTCTCGTTGTTTTTATTTGTAAAAATCGCGGCAAACAGGCAGCGAAGTCAAGTGCAACACTAGCTAACGTGAATGAACCAACACGGCGAGGGGAAGACTGCCTGCTCGTCATGTTTACAGATTAAAACAACTTGTTCATTGAGATATTTCCTTCAAACTGATGGGGCGAGTGATGCAGAACGATAAAACCTGTATTTAGGTCAACGAAGACGCCAGAGAATCTCCGGAGCATCTTTCATTTTGGTCTTTCTCGCCGCACACACGGATTAAACACCGTCCTTCTGTCCGTGCGGGCAGGCGGTGCTGTTTGTAAACAAATCGGCCTCGCTTCACCCGTCTGGCAGCCGGAAGACGAAGCTGCTCACCTTCTTTAGTTGTTGAAGTGCAGAAGTTTGATTTTTATTTGAGTATTTCCATTTTTGAAAAAGTACTTCCTCTTCGCCTGGCTCTTCAGTTCGACACTTTGCCGGACTCAACAATCCCGGGAGCTCAGCCAATCAGCGCCGAGCACCCCTGGTCATCTGACCAATAGGAAACTGTAGCCCCCCGGAACTCGTCTGACCAATCAGAATGCAGGGATAAGTCCGGTCAACCAATCACAAGCCAGCGTGTAAATACAATGTAGAACACAAAACGTTTATTACATTTTTATTAGTCACGTTTGTGTTTATTAGATAAAAATTATATCACACTTTAAAGTTTTTTTTTTTTAACCACGGGCATACATACCATAAAACATACAAAAAGTTAAAACGGGACAAAAATCAAGTTTTACCTGTATAATTAAAAAATAAAAATAAAGCTTTAACTGAGGATTAGTAGCTGTAAAAAAGAAGACGGTGAGATCACTGACTGATAAATGGTTGCTGACATTTGTTAAAGATGAAACCAAAATGTTAAAGTAAAAAAAAGAAAAAGTTTAAATTGGCAAAACAGAAGCTAAAAGCTATTATCAAACAAACCATAGCTACAGCTAAAATTTTTAGACAAACTGTAGCTTTGAAGTAAAAAATAGCAACACTAAAGCTAAAATTATTTCAACTGTAGTCAAGAGATTAACTAAAACTACTACGACATTAACAAAGCAAGTATTCACTCAAGCGATTGTTTTTGAAGGAATTGAATAATGTTAATGCTTTTCTATGGGGAAATAATTGTAAATAAAGTTAAATAATTCAAAAGAGTATAAAAGTTACAAACATCACAGCACCCTAATACTAAATGAGCTGAATGTTTTGATATATAAACAGCTAAAATAGCACAAAGTGCACTGAAGTAGTTTGCAAAAATCAAGCAGAGGAAACAATCTGGTGACTCAGCACAATAACCCACAGAATGACTCAGTGTTTATTTTAAATGTTTTTATTAAAGTTGCATAAAAGTGTAACAAAATTGGGCAAAAACAAAACCTGTTGTTCATATTGCTACATTTGTTTTTCTAATCATTGTCAAAAAACAAAACGCCTCCACTCCAATCTGCACGGTTGAGTTTAGCCTCGACGAGAACGGGTTGTTGTTGTTTTTTTCTTCTTTTTTTAATGTTTTTGCCAACAGTAAAAAAACAAAACAAAACAAAAATCTGGCTTGTCAATAACAGTCTAAGTAGGTAGAATCCAAACCTGGATTTAGAAAAAAACCATTTAAAAATCCGCTCAAGTTCAGCTCCTGATCGTTCTGCCTCGATCGGAAACACTCAGAAAAGGCAAAAGCAATCGCACCAGAACTCATCGGAATGGATTTTTCTTCAACATACAGGTTCACCCAAGTGTCATGGTCACAATAAAAACAGAGCAGTATCCAGATCTAAACAGAACCACTTGAATCAAGGCCTAAAAGTATCAAACACACACCTCTAAAAACGATAAAAAAAAGAATCTCAAAACGAGGAGCGGCAGAAGATTTTCAGATTCTCCACACGCCGTAACTTCAGTCGCCATTTTGTTAACAAAAAACTGACTTTCTCCTGGTTTTTTTTGTTGTTTTTTTTGGTTTGTGTAACATAAATTATACCTAAGGCAACATCTGTTTAAAAAAAAAAAAACTGAAGGAAGCAAACAACAAAAGATGTGAGAAAAAAGTGAAATGAACGCTGAGACGAAGGCGCGACGGTAAAAAAGTTTGCAGGAGTTTTAAGAGCTGGTTGCAGGAATCTCAGCGATCGTTCTAATGGGTTTAGCGGGTTTCGGTCTCTAACCGGGTCAGATCAGAACCTGATGGCTTTATTCTCTGAGATGATGGGCGTGGATGGAGAATGGGTCAGGCAAGTAAGCGAGAAAAACAGTTTGAAACATGGATCTGCTTCCTGTTTTTTTTTTTTGTTTGTTTTTAGAGCAAAGTGAGCTCTGAAAATGAACAAAAAACTAGAAAAATATGACAAATCGGGATGTTGTGATTTAAAAAAGGCAGTTTTTCTCTGTTCTATCAGTGTGTGATAACAACGATTAAAAAAAGGGAACCAGTCCCATAGCGATAAAAACAAATCTGTCCTAGCTAACAGCACAATATACAGGCCCAAAAGCACTCCGAACTAAGACAGATGTTGCTGTACATTATGTAGCAACACACACTATTAGCATTTAGCAACACGGACATACATGTTGTATGTTTAGGCCGGACAGCAGCCGCTTCAGAACCTGTGACTGACTGGATGACACGTTTGAGGAAAGAAGTCCTATCCATTTATTCTGTAAAAAAAAAAAAGAAGTTTGAAACAAAAATCAGATTATTTTTAGCCTGGCCACATGGAAACGACGACTTCTCCTCCTCGCTGCAGTAAACACACTCTGAGGTGCTCAGAGGTTCAGATTTTCTTCACCAAAATGACACAGTGCACATCGTATTTTTAAGAAACGCACTAAAAGACGACGGTCTTTAAATGCAACGCTGCAGCAGTGCCTCTGTTTAAGAGGGGGTAGTTTGTAGTGAGCACCTAAAAAGGGGTTTTAAAAATAAAAAAGTGATACAACTAAAGGGATTATCTTCAAGCCCTCAAAGTAAAGCACAAAACATAAAGGTTTATAAGTGGCAGCTCGATTGTTTGAAAATTAAAACAATTTAAAATGATGATAAATCTCGGCGGTAAAGATGGAGTTCTCCTTCCGTCTCTTCGGATTTTCACTCCGCTCTTTTATTTATGTCTGTGGGTTCTTCTGTCTCTTGTTCTTCTTCCCACGCCCCCGTTGTTTTTTTTATTTTTATTTAGTAATTACAGGTCTCGGCTCCTCCTCTGACAGATTGGAGGAAGAAGAGCTGAATAAGGGCTGTCTGCAATTCGGAGCGAGGGGGGAAGGAGAGCGCCTGGATCAGAACAGACAAGTCCGTTCTAGATTTGATGGGGTTTTTTTTTACCTTTTTTTTACTGATTTTTTTTTTTAAGAATCAAAAAACTACAAACTCATCAAGTTACCAAAAATAGTTAAAAGTGAAGAGTCAACTGAATCCAGGCAACCAGAGAGAAAAATGTGAGGTTCAAACAAAACAACAATTCAAGATCTTTGAAGGAAGAATGACGTTAAATTAAAACGATAATAAAGATTTAACAAAAAATGTAGGAAGACGAGAGGGCCGAAGAGGGGACCGTGTGGGACGCCATCATTTCTTCTGAGGCGTGGAGAGCTTCTGCATTCCTCTGATCTTGTCAAGCAGCTCTGAGACGAAGTCCTGTGAGGAGACGAGAGAAACGGATCACACGAGGCCCGGTTTTCAAAACTAAACGAAAACAGTTCCAGGAAGTAAAGATAAATACCTCGGTGGGTTTAAAACAGTCGACCAGTAAGTCCTGAAACGGTAAAGTGAAACGATTTGTTTGTTGTTCTGCTGGTTTCTGTGTCTTTATGTGATTTTATTTATTTTACCTTCACTCTGGCGGCTCGCTCCACGTCACTGGGCATGTCCAGCAGCTCGTCCACGTCTATCTCCAGCTCTGGGATGGCCTCCTCCTGCACAAAACAAAAGGGAATCAAACCCTTCAAAACAAATCCTTCAAGACAATCTTCCATTAGTCTCTAAAATGTCTCCACGTCTGAACACTAGAGGGCAGGAAGTGTCCACTCAACGTCTTATAGCTCAGTTCTTAAAAACATTTATTCACCATGAACAAAACAACAACTTTATTTAGTGCTGTTTGTGTTTATGCGCCGTTCTTTTTATAAATTGTTTATTTATGCTCCTAAAATATAAATATTTGAAACAAATAGGTAATAATAAAAAAAAACCAACAAGGCAGAGAAGCCTTAAAGTGATAATTCAGAGATTTTAACATGGGGTTTTATGGAAAGGTTATGAACAGGTAATATCTTACCTGTTGCAGATAGCTCCTTGAACGACCTTGGTTTGGAGAAATAAAGTTAAATTCTGCCCAGATTAATGAACTAACAGAGTTAAATCATTTTTGTTCCTAAACTGAGGTCGTTCAAAGAGCAATCTACAGCAGGTAAGATGTTAAAGGGATAATCTGGTGATTTTTGAAGTGATGTTCTGTCGTATAAATCAGTCAAAGAGCACAGAGTTTGGAGAAAACAGCAGGAGTCATCGTCGAGTCTAAGCTAAGGGACCTTTTCGTGTTGTTTTTCAGAATAATGAAATAACTTTACTCATAAACTACTTCCTGATGTGAAATAATGCTACATTAGGTAATATTCAACCACCACACCAGGACTATTCAGCTAAACTGCTCACAGTTACTGGAAGCCAACAGCTCAGGGGCCGGACATCCGCCAATGTCATTACATTAATTTATAACACCAGTATTTCCCAGACTATTACACAAGTGTGGGCCACCCCCCCCCCCCCCTCCAACAAACCCTACCATCCCCCCTCCCCCCCCCCCCCCCCCCCTCCGGTCGACAACTTATTGGTATTGATGTAGCTCGGGGTGCAAGACTAACGCGCTAGCAAAAATGCTACTTATGTACCATTCCACTCCCCCACACCGTCGACAATTACCGGCAGCAACATAGCGCTATACACAGATGTGACACCCCCCCCCC